TATTAGAAAGCCAGGAAATTTTTAGAAGTAAGAGAATTTGCCTACTTTTTGCATGTTATTGGTCTATATTTACTTTTCACACAGACTATTCAAAACAAATACTCAATATATTCATGGACAAAACTTTATTTTATTTTATTAAAAATACTTCACTAAGAAATTTGACTTTTTGTATGTGAAAGACTGGTAATAGTAACTGAAAGACTACCAAATTTCGTGAAGATATACCCAATATATATAGAGAGTTATAAATATTAAACATATATCAACTTTAAATGAATACAAAAGGTCACGTGACTCGGCCAAATTGACTGACCCTGTGTTGGGAGAGTTAAAAGAGACAAATTGGTTTTGTTAAAGTTAATGACATTAGATGAGCTGTGTAAGGCTAGAAAGAATAAAAGAGCAAGACCGGAGTATTCAGAGGCTGCTAAAGTAGTCGAGTTAAATGATTAGGCCCCATCTAATCAGGACATAGCTTGATTGTATAAATGAATACCAAACTGACTTGATTTAACTAATTGGTGAGGTTAGTTGATTACTAAAGTATTATAGTCAAAATTAATAGGTATAGTAAAAGTTCAAGAAACGAACTGCATTTGTGGAAAAGAGACAGAAATGACCTATCAACCAATGACAGTGTGACTGTGACTAGAAAAAGGTGCTCAAGTAAGTGCACGGGGTATGAGGTGTTCAAGTTAGTACACGTGTGTGTGTGATCAAATGGGAACAGAACATGTATTGTGAAACTTTTCATAAGAAACAATTAATAATTATGTATCATGACTATAGGAAGAGAAAAAAGAAGGCCATAATTATAGAGATAGAAGGATTCAAGGTATGTGATTATTACTGGATTAAGGAGTTAGCAATAAGGGACTGCTACTCTGGATGGACTGATGCCTACTGTTTCCATCTGCTGTTCCCAAAAGACCATTTGAGTTATGCCAACCAAAGACATGTGAACTGGTGTTCTACCTATCTACATGGCATTCGTTGTACCAATGGGGAACACACATCAGTGGATTTGTTTGAGATCAGGAGGAACTTTATGGGTGGTATGGTAGATTGTACACCAAAGGAAAAGAAAAGGTGAGGATAATCAGTTGACAATTCGGAATCCCGTGTATAAACGGATAATCTGAACTAGATTGTACTGAAACACCATATTGTGCCTACCACTGATATCCACATGAACATTGTGCATATTGGAAGGTGTGTGCCTTGTATGAGTGGGTCACTGGTAGTGATTGGAACAACTTAAGATACCTTCAGCATGATTTTTAGATATAGTTTTAATACTAAAGTACTTAAATCTTATATTATCCTTGTATAATTTTATGTGTATTCGATATATTTCATGTAAACGGATATAACCAGTAGAAGTAGAATTTAAATATATTATCATTGTAAACATTAATCGAAGTAGGGAGAGAGTTAGAAGTACAATAGTTGGATAGTGGGAATTTTCTTACGAGAAATAAGAAAATTCTTAAGGAGGGAGGGGTGCTAGTGTACTAGCACAAGTAAGAAGGCATCCAGCTAACTCACCATAACAGTAACCAATTACTTGAGAGTTTTGGTTATGGTTTTGGATTAGCCAGGGAAGTAGTACAGATTGCTCAATAAGGTGTGAGAACTACTTGTGGGTAGTGCTGCATACTATTTGGTAGTTCATAGGAACACGAAGAAAAGTTGTTTAAAAACTCATGTTAGAGGCAGAAAGTCATGTTTTTTCTGAGCAATCAAGTATCCAGAGTCTCCTTACGCATCCTCACCAAATTCTCAAAGAAAAAGTTGAAGGTTTCCAATCTGCAGAAGTACACTTCGTCAACTATGTTGTAAGTAGAATTTTTGATTCTCAAGCTTCAGTTAATGTAGTGTAACAGTAAAGGGTATTCATGTTTATGTACTCTATATATATTAATCATTAACACTGATTAAAAGTATCAGTAAAAGTTATAACAATTAGTAAACTGTTGACTAATATTGTGTATTATGAGGTAAGATTTAATAAATGTTTTTATATTTTGTTCAATATTATTCTTGGAATCTGTTCATTTATTCTAACTGTAAGTTACCTCAAGTTAGTGACTTGTGAGCTCCACTCGCCATTGCAAATCCTCAAGTAAATAAATTCAGTGTAGTTGGCAGTATAATTGAAACTCCAACAATTTGCCCTAAGAGTGCTGCCTGTTACAATAGCCCAGTTTACAAACTTATAATTACTTGATGCATTAGATCCTGCAAATATGAGTGATGGAAAGCCCAATCCTATTATTCCACTGGCAATAAAATGTCCTAACATCATTCAAGAAAATTCTTATAAAGAACTCAATAAGGAATGGAGAGAGTTAACCTTATTTGAAATGCCAGTTTTGGGTGAGAATCTGTTGGAACCAGAAAAATTCTGGTATGCTAAGATTTCCTAATGTATCGAGACTGATGCTGAATTTAATGTCTTTGTCCCATTCTTCTGCTGCTACTGAAATAATATTTTCACTAGTAAGTAATATTGAAACAAATAAATAGACACTCGGCTTAACGCAGGGACATTCATTGCATTACTACACAGCAAGAAGTTACTTCAAGATGCTAATTGCAATTCATGGCACCCCCACTCAGGAAACTAGTTGAAAAAATGATTAAACAATCAGAGGGAGTGGAAGATATGCAGTTTTGATGATATTAGGTAAGTTTAATGCTATTTGTCCCCAACATCGAGGTTGTTTCCAGCCTCAAGGTCCAGTTCTTTTAGCTAAGTTCCCGAGATATACAGACAGAAATCGCCAGTTTATCTATACATTCAAGACTTGCACTACAGTAACTCCATGTAAGTTTTGATTGCAACTCTCCTTTCACTAATAATATTGCAGGGTGGAAATATGATGTGTAATGCAAAAGTAACTAAAGTTAAATAAGTAATGTTGATAGGGTTAGAAACATTATGGATCTAATATAAGTTACTGAATGTATGAACTTTTATTTAATCGATGTTACTGTTTTTTATTCATTATAAGCCTTCATATCTTTTGGTGTAGAATTGGACTCAGTATCATTTATTCCTTGCATTACTTGTAAATTTCCTTGAGTTAGTTGACTTGTGTACCCACAAATCTATTGTAATTGGTGTCTTGTTGCCCTAAACAACGCTCTCTCTCGTTCCCACGATAGAGCAGCCTGATACAAAACATAAAGCTATTTAATTTGTCAAAAGATCAATTCATGACGTAACAGGTTTAGTTTCATGTCTATTGATCAGAGCTTTTTAAGTTTCTTGGAAAAACCTGGATCCTTTGAACCTTTGGTCACTGCTCCCCAGTCGCTCAGTGCCAAGTCTCGAGGCTTATATAACGCTAAAAACAGGGTTTCTATATTATGTGAAAGGCATAGTACAGAGAGGTTTGTGGTTAACAACAAACTTTCATCACTGGAACAAGGACCAAAATCCAAGCTCTAGTCATAAATCCTCAATGTCACCGCTAAACCACGCGGCATGTCAGAAAGTATTTGATTAAGTATACACAGAACAATATAAAACGAGTGAAACAATTCATTTACCACTTTAGAATATCTGAATGATTTTAAAGGTTACAACAATAATATATATTTTTGTTGCCCTCTTCTCCCCCTCCATTCGGCAAAGTGAAGTCAAATAAACACGGTTGAGTCTCAGAACTCAGGTGCATGCATGCGTAAAGTAATAGCTTTGTTTGTGAAACTATCTTTGCAATATCTAATAGTATAAAATACAGTGTGTATCTGTCAGTCTCTCGGTCACATGATGTTATAGCAACTTAATACGTAATGTAACTAGTTTGGCTTCTTGTCAATTAGGAGTAGTCTACTATTGATTGAAAATTAAAGATATATTTGATCTAAAAAATTCACCTTTTTCGCAATTTGAAAACCTATCTTTGTTAAATCGTCGAGTTACGCCAAAAGGGACGTAAATATACTTTATTAGACATTTTATACAGCATATTCAAAGCTTATCAGAGTTTTTTAACAAAAAGGTCTAACGTTAGGTCGTAGGATAATATTAGAAGATTATTTATTGATAGTATTAAGTGTGGAAAGGTTTAGCCCTAACTGAACTAAACCAAACAAACGTACACGTTACAGTATTAATTTATCTCTTTATCAAATATAGTCCGTACTTAATAAAGGCTTAATTAATGTTAAGACTAAGACAAGTGGACTTATACATTTCAGTGTCTGCGATAATAATTTTTTGTATTACTCTAGAAATCCTGGATTTAAAGAAGTACTGTTGCAATAAAGATAATAATTTGGCCACAAACAATTTGTAGGTCTCTGCTAGTCAAATAAAACGTGAACATGTTAACCTCGCTGAACTAACTCAAGGATCATCTTTATTTAGACACGTCCATTGCATCATCCCGTATTAGAGAAGGAATGTTGTGTTACGACAGCAGAAGTCACGTGACTCTGGTAACACGTGATGAGTTTCTAGAAGGATCACGAAGGCTCGAGTGTTTGCCAGACGCCTTCTATTTTTGTGTATATAAGCCCAGAAAAGAGAGAGAGATAGAGACAGATATTCGAGTCAAGTCGTAAGT